TCTCTCTCCTCCCCTGCCTACAGCCAGAGTCCAGCCAGGCCTGAGAAGAGGGGGGAGAGGGCCACTTACTACCCACAGACCCACAACCTCAATGCAGCCCTCCACCAGGTCAACATCATACACCAATTAGGTCTCTCTCTCTCTCACACACACTATTTTACTTGTTGCTATGATCCCACTTGCATGCAGGCGAGATCTGGGCCTGACGTTGTCTTTTCTCTGAGTGGGTAAACACAGTCCCATGCTGCCAAGTTGTTCAATAGCTGACTTCACACTTCTTCAAGGAAGACCTCACAGCTGGACTGGACTCAAATGTGTTTCTTCTACACAAACATGTTGATTTAGACTAGAGCATTATCTTGTCTTGCTTCCCTCCCATTTACTGTAAACGGGTACTGATTGCAATATAGGCACGGATGATGCCTTTGACCATAACACGTATGATAAAAAGCACTGGTAAGTCATATTGGTGTGGGTTGCCACCTTATTGTTTTTAAATGAACTAAAAGTCCTATTCAAATGAATTGTAAAGAATGAGTGTAAATTAAACAGCATATAAATGGAAAGTAAGAAATACCCAGCTCATGTAGACACAGCTGATACAAATATACAGATGATATCTCCTCTGAAGCAAAGCTTCTCTTATCAGGTGCCAGGCGCTTCATATACCTGTCCTGGTGATAAAACCACATCTGTGCCGCAGACAAAGGCTGAGACTACTTCGCCAACCCACCAGGCTACAACGCCATCTGATGCATTACAAAGCTCCAGGAGCAGAAAAACACATTCACATCAATGCACACACAAATGCCAAAAGAATCATTCTGAAGGGGGAAATGTATAGGCCACATGAAGCCTTAAGTAAACACTAAACATGTACTTGCCTTAGGACATGTCAGAAGGCTATGGTAGTGTGACCTAAATCTGACTGCTCACTGAAACAGGAATTCTCTCTTCAGTATAAAAACAGAGCAGGCCATAGGTTAGTTAAACCCCTAACAGACACCCTGCTGTACTGAAGATCACAGTTACTCTGCAATTAATACTGGTGGCACTGTCACAGAGTTAAATGCAAAGTTGTACACTACTCTCAGGTAGCCTTAGCCAAGTCGTGGCCGCACTCGAATTTTGAACAATGGCAATGTTAATGCTGCAGAATATTTTCCACCAGCAGCATTCAGAACACAATAATGCTGCACTGTGGCTATACGCTCCTCCCAGACTGGCCCAAGACAACCCCCATCCATCCCTCCCTCCCTCAAATCAAATCAAATCAAATGCCTCCATCATTCCCCCCCTTCACGCCTGGACTGCATAATGAAGTGAAACACAAACCATCACCAACAATCTGCAACACATTAGAAGGGCCTTGATTGAATCTAAATCAAGCTGCACCTATTACAACTAAGTGTTAGGGTTCTACAGGAAAAGACTACACTAAGGAAATTCACAAAGAGTTCATAAAATATACAGCATGCTATTTGATGACCATGGGGAAGGGTTGGGTGGTGTGGAGCCATGAGGCAAAGACTCATTTTAAAAAAGGTCCTGTGTGCCCTTACAGTTGAAAGATAATCATTCTAAATGTCTCCATTTCATTGAAGAGGTGGTAAAATGTTGATGTAGTAATTACTTGCCGGTATGTAGGCAAACTGGGTAGGTCTATATCAGATAAATGCATAAAAAACATCCCCTAAAATGACACGTTGTACAAAATAGAATTCCACTGGCACTGATAGTAGTGCATGCAGAACTATTCTTACAGAAAGTCTCCTGCAAATCCTTTTTACTAGCCTGGTGTGGCAATGTAATGAGACACAGATGAGGGCTATTTATACTCTTATTTTCAAATAAACGACTTGCCCTGGCATCTTAGGACAAGGAAATTATCATTGTCCAACTAAAAGCCAGCCTCCATCACCATCTTCTGCTCCCATTATTTTAAAAAGATAGTAACAGTATGGTATGATTTCCTGACTTGTTTTTTTTTACTGTGGAATTGTATTTTATACCTATCCTGTGAGGCCTAGAGACCATGACAATGTCTTTACCAGCCGTTACTGGGTTTAATGTCCTGTACTGCCAACAGGGTAGCAGCAGCAGGGCACTGAGAATGGCGCAGCTCTGTCCTCTGCAGACAATTAGATTTATATTCACACTACCCTCGGCTCTCTCCCTCTACCCTCCTCTCCCTCACGATTACAATTGCAATGTACACATATATTATACCCGCCCACAATTATATTATTCTTTATAGCATATAGATTATGTGCATGCAGCTGCAAGCCGAGACACATCGGCTAGCCGAGACAGTCTCAGTGGGATTAATTGTAATTTGTTATTAAGGATCATCATTTGTTTTTCAGACAGGCATGTTGACGTATGTAGGAAACTGGAGGGGCAGAGGACCCAAAATGGATCCTGACGTGGGTGAACCTGCAGCATGATACAGGTCTCATTTAGGTATAATTTATTTATAATCCTGAAACCCTTGCTTTACCCATACATTGACATTATATCGGCCTAAACATTTTAAAGGCTTTCACAACATGTTATTTTTTATGTTTATTGAATTCATGTCCAGAAAATAAATACAGACATCAAGATATTGTGGTAATCATATTTACAATATAGGCCTAGATTAATTATATGGGACAGTAACTGTAAACATTTGTCAAATTATGAATAAAGGTAAAATAATGAATTAATAAATGGACAGGGTACATAGAAAATATTTGGACATTTTCTGTGAAAGGTTATGATGATTAAGCTCATAATCTTTTTCAACATCTATAGGCTAAACATCTATTTTGAAACCTTTATATTAAACCCATATGAAAGAGATGGACAGATAATATGAATAGAATTACCTACAGGTTTATTTATAGGAAATTTGATTAAATCTTTTCTCCTTTTTCAAACATATGGGTGTTTTCCAATAGCCGTGTAATGTGTAGGCCTATTATGAGATATTGACTTCTGTATCCTAAATAATGGCCCTGCAATTAAATAATTAATCGAACAAAAGCCTAACAGCCAAAGAGTAGGCCATTGTATCGAGTTTCAAATATTTCACTAACACTTTGATCAAAAACACATTATACCTTTTTCCTTTGTATTTTTACAATAACTATTTTCAGCATCGATCATTTCACCTTGGCTATAATAAACCTTAGATATTAGGTATTCATATATAGAACAAACAATTAAACAAAAACATTTGAACTATATTTAAATCAATATTTATATAGCATTGTCATTATTTCTAATGGCTATAGGCCTATAATAAGTCAAGTTTTGGTCAATATCTTTTGACCATATTTTTTTGTCAATTGTCCTGCCACAAAAATGATTTTGGGGCAGGACAATGTAATTTGTTACCTGAGTGTTTGAATTAAAAAGGATTCTACAAATTAACTATGAATAATAATACATTTTAGACATTAGCATATCTTCCCACTACCTGGGTGTGTATGTGTCATTTTCTAATTTCAATATGAATATTTAGGCTATAGATAACCTGTGACACATGCACCGGGGTGCACAATAGATAGGCTATATATTATATCCAATGCAAACAATGGAACCTGGAATAAATACAAGGGGCCTTCTGTAAACCATATTCTGTATACATAAGAGAGACAGTGACAAACGAATCTACCTACAGAAAAAATAGGCCTGCTGGCAACATTAGAAACAAAATATGTTAGACCCTGTATCAACCTTTGGTTCCACAGTCAGTTATGTCCAATGACCCAAATAAAAGCATATACCTATGAACTGTAAGGTAGACCTATATAATTGGGCAAAGTGTGCAGTTTATTTAAATAAGGGTTTATTGGGTAGGCTAAACATATGGGTGTCACATATGTTTTTTATATCGTGGCTCAATTCCAGATTCACCTTTTTATTCATTGGTCACTTCTTACCTTTTTGTGTCTATCTTTGAAAGGCAATGCCGGCCATTGCATCTCCTGTAAAAAGTCTTGCCAATGTTTCTGATCCTGATCAGATGAGACGAAGACGATTTCCAATGTGTCTTTATGTTCAGATGATTTTTTGAACTTGCTATAAAACTCACACAGACTGGCGTTGAACTGCTTACAGGGGCCGTTTAAACTGCAGCCGAAGTAGAGCCCGACCAGGGACAGCTTGCTACCCAGCGCCTGTACATCCACATCGGCTTTCTCGCTGTTGACGAGCCGCTCCCCGAGTAGATTCACCAGAAACTCCGACATCGCTGCTCGAGTCCTTGAAACAGACCCTAATATATTCCGTTCTCTTACCAAGACTGCAGAAAATGAAAACTGAAAAGCTCAGTGAAAACAAACACGCCCTGGTCCTCCAATTTAGCTTCCTTGGAGAGCCCCAATTCGTGGTATAGCCTATGCTCAAATGTGTGCACGACTACAGATACCCTTTTCCGCTGCTCAGCTCAGTCGCTCCAATGTGTGGTGTGCAGGAATGCGCTCCAGTTATACTCCTACAACAGTGGTTGCGCTCCTCACTTCAAAGCAAGCAACTCTTTCATGACACCTAGTTATAAAACGGCGATATTGCATCTCTATAATATTCTTGATGTATGTATATAAAAAATTCAGACCACCTTTGTTTGGTCTGGTATTTAATAACACTACTTGATCAAGTTCACTATTCAAAGACTGATTGCTGTTAGCATTGAGCATGTTTAGGCCTACATGGTACACACATTACATGTTTAGGCCTATGTGTACATTAAACCCATATGACAGAACTAGGGATAGGTTACTTTTTTTCTTCTTCATGAGCCTATAAGGAGCTTTAAAATATATATATATATGTTTACAAAGACAACATGAGCCTATTATTAAATGTGCCAATTTTATCTAATATTATAATTTCACATAAAAAAATAATTGTTTGAAATATAAATAATATCATTATTGAAAAGAAAAAACGTGAACCTAAATGTTTATTATAAGACATTAGGCCTAATATATTTAGACAGGCTGAGGGAGCCACCTAGCTTCTCACAAAATGAACTGCACTATAGACAAACTGCATTTTAAACATTTTATTTTTTTCATCCAGCCATAATTTCCCTTAATTTGACTAAATTCTACACTATAACACGACAATCACAGTATAACAGGTAATGCTTCAGTTGATATCCTCACTCTATAGATTACTGCCGTAAGTAAGAAATAAGAATCATCAATTGATGAGATTCAATTCATTTGACACAATTCGTCTGGCACATCACATTCTAGGAGTAGGCTGCCTACCACTTAGGGGAATCTAATATATTAGTCAAAAGTGGGCTTTGTTATTATAACCTCTTCTATTTAATTTACTACTTTAAACATCAAGTTATAAAAGCAGACAGCTAGCTCTACCAAGGCCTCTGGTTATGTTATAGTTGCTTATTATTTCCTTGTAAGAATAGCAACACATCACTGATTAACACTGCCTCGCAGTGAGAGAAGTGTGTATTTGAATTCCAAAGAAACAATCATTTCTATTCAATCAAGTGTAGTGAAAAGGTGCCTGGGCTGGGACTGGATTTCAGGACAGAGGGAAATGGAAGATAACCAAGTGCAGGGTGAGTGTTGTCCTCTAATCCTCAGTGAACATCATCCTCACCAGGTCAGCTTTGAAGCACTCCTCCTCAACCAGCTTCTGAGGCTGAATTAGATGGAGGAAAAGAAACAGAACTTAGCATGTTTTGGTAACACTTTCCTTGAAGGTATATTTTATTAAGAATGTATTAAAAGTTTATAAATAGTTCATAAACGGTTAATAACAACCTCACCAATGTGTTAACAGTTGTTGTTTTTTACAGATTGACTATCTATAAAATAATAATAAAACGCTTTTAGGACCCTTTCAGTGTTACCACAAAATCCAAAGAAAAAGCAACACTTTTAAAATGTATTAGAGAAATTCTTCTTCTTTGTGATCTTGCCATGCACTTATGCTCACCGTGCCATAACGGATCAGAGTGGGAACTCCACTGAGCTTCAGAGTCTTCTTGAATTCATTATTGGGATCCTTCCAACTGGTTGAAGATGAAAAGGTATATTAAGCAAATACAAAAGTCAAAGACATTTAGGTCAAATGTATAATTTTGTGCACTGTGTATATATATATATATATATATATATACACACACATACATACACACACACACACACACACACTGAACAAAAATATAAACACAACATGCAATAATTTCAAAGATTTTACTGAGTTACAGTTCATAAAAGGAAATCAGTCAATAAATTCATTAGGCCCTAATCTATGGATTTCACATGACTGGGAATACAGATATGCATCTGTTAGTCACATATAACTTTTTTTTTAAGTAGGGGCGTGGATCAGAAAACCAGTCAGTATCTGGTGTGACCACAATTTGCCTCCTGCAGCGCGACACATCTCCTTCGCATAGAGTTGATCAGGCTGTTGATGTGTGGCTTGTGGATTGTTGTCCTACTCCTCTTCAAAGGCTGTGCGAAGTTGCTGGATATTGGCGGGAACTGGAACACGCTGTCGTACACGTCTATCCAGAGCATTCCAAACATGCTCAATGGGTGACATGTCTGCAGTGGTGTAAAGTACTTAAGTAGTTTTGGGGGGTATCTGTACTTTACTATTTATATTTTTGACAACTTTTACTTAACTACATTCCTAAAGAAAATAATGTACTTTTTACTCCATACATTTTCCCTGACACCCAAAAGTACTCGTTAAATTTTGAATGCTTAACAGGACAGGAAAGGTCAAATTCACACACGTCAAGAGAGCATCCCTGGTCATCCCTTCTGCCTCTTTTCTGGCAGACTCACTAAACACAAATGCTTAGTTTGTAAATGATATCTGAGTGTTGGAGTGTGCCCCTGACTATCCATACATAAAATAACAAATAAAATTGTGCCGTCTGGTTTGCTTAATATAAGGAATGTGAAACTATTTATAATTTTACTTTTGATACTTAAGTACAGTCGTTGTCAAAAGTTTTGAGAATGACACAAATACTAATTTTCACAAAGTCTGCTGCCTCAGTTTTGATGATGGCAATTTGCATATACTCCAGAATGTCACGAAGAGTGATCAGATGAATTGCAATTAATTGCAAAGTCCCTCTTTGCCATGAAAATGAACTTAATCCCCAAAAAAAACATTTCCACTGCATTTCAGCACTGCCACAAAAGGACCAGCTGCCATCATGTCAGTGGTCCTCTCGTTAAACACAGGTGAGAGTGTTGACGAGGACAAGGCTGGAGATCACTCTGTCATGCTGATTGAGTTCGAATAACAGACTGGAAGCTTTAAAAAAAGGGTGGTGCTTGAAATCATTGTTCTTCCTCTGTTAACCATGGTTACCTGCAAGGAAACACGTGCCGTCATCATTGCTTTGCACAAAAAGGGCTTCACAGGCAAGGATATTGCTGCTAGTAAGATTGCACCTAAATCAACCATTTATCAGATCATCAAGAACTTCAAGGAGAGAGGTTCAATTGTTGTGAAGAAGGCATCAGGGCGCCCAAGAAAGTCCAGCAAGCGCCAGGACCGTCTCCTAAAGTTGATTCAGCTGCGGGATCGGGGCACCACCAGTGCAGAGCTTGCTCAGTAATGGCAGCAGGCAGGTGTGAGTGCATCTGCACGCACAGTGAGGCGAATACTTTTGGGGGATGGCCTGGTGTCAAGAAGGGCAGCAAAGAAGCCACTTCTCTCCAGGAAAAACATCAGGGACAGACTGATATTCTGCAAAAGGTAAAGGGATTGGACTGCTGAGGACTGGGGTAAAGTCATTTTCTCTGATGAATCCCCTTTCCGATTGTTTGGGGCATCTGGAAAACACCTTGTCCGGAGAAGACAAGGTGAGCGCTACCATCAGTCCTGTGTCATGCCAACAGTAAAGCATCCTGAGACCATTCATGTGTGGGGTTGCTTCTCAGCCAAGGGAGTGGGATCACTCACAATTTTGCCTAAGAACACAGCCATGAATAAAGAATGGTACCAACACATCCTCGAGAGCAACTTCTCCCAACCATCCAAGAACAGTTTGGTGATGACCAATGCCTTTTCCAGCATGATGGAGCACCTTGCCATAAGGCAAAAGTGATAACTAAGTGGCTTGGGGAACAAAACATCGACATTTTGGGTCCATGGCCAGGAAACTCCCCAGACCTTAATCCCATCGAGAACTTGTGGTCGATCCTCAAGAGGCGGGTGGACAAACAAAAACCCACAAATTCTGACAAACTCCAAGCATTGATTATGCAAGAATGGGCTGCCATCAGTCAGGATGTGGCCCAGAAGTTAATTGACAGCATGCCAGAGCAGATTGCAGAGGTCTTGAAAAAGAAGGGTCAACACTGCAAATATTGACTCTTTGCATAAACTTAATGTAATTGTCAATAAAAGCCTTTGACACTTATGGAATGCTTGTAATTATACTTCAGTATATCATAGTAACATCTGACAAAAATATCTCATAACACTGAAGCAGCGAACTTTGTGAAGACCAATACTTGTGTCATTCTCAAAACTGTATATTTAAAACCAAATACTTCTAGACCTTTACTCAAGTAGTATTTTACTGGGTGACTTTCACGTTTACTTGAGTCATTTGCTATTAAGCTATCTTTACTTTTACTCAATTGGGTACTTTTTCCACCACTGCACGTCTGGTGAGTATGCAGGCCATTGAAGAAATGGGACATTTTCAGCTTCCAGGAATTGTGTACAGATCCTTGCGACATGGGGCCGTGAATTATCATGCTGAAACATGAGGTGATGGCGGCAGTTGAATGGCACGACAATGGGCCTCAGGATCTGGTCACCGTATCTCTGTGCATTCAATTTGCCATTGATAAAATGCAATTGTGTTCGTTGTCCTGAACTTATGCCTGCCCATACTATAAACCCACCGCCACCATGGGGCACTCTGTTCACAACGTTGACATCAGCAAACCGCTTGCCCACACGACGCCATACACCTGGTCTGCGTTTGTGAGGCCATTTGGACGTACTGCCAAATTCTCTAAAACGACGTTGGAGGCGGCTTATGGTAGAGAAATTAACATTCAATTATCTGGTAACAGCTCTGGAGGCCATTCCTGCAGTCAGCATGCCAATTGCACGCTCCCTCAAAACTTGAGACATTTGTGGCATTGTGTTGTGTGACAAAACTGCACATTTTAGAGTGGCCTTTTATTGTCCTCAGCACAAAGTGCACATGTAATGATCATGCTGTTTAATCAGCTTCTTGATATGCCACACCTGGTAGGTGGATCTGTCAGGTGGATGGATTATCTTGACAAAGGATAAAATGCTCACCAACAGAGATGTATACAAATGTGTGCTTATAATTTGAGAGAAATAAGCTTTTTGTGGGCATGGAACATTTCTGGGATCTTTTATTTCAGCTCATGAAACATGGGACCAACACTTTACATGTTGCGTTTATATTTTTGTTCAGTGTATTTTGCTCCTTTCAAATATGCTGTCCGAGAGAGCCGACAGTTCATGATGTTACAACTTGCACGATTTATTTAAGCTTTTCAAAACTACTAGCTGCATTTGAGGGTAAGAATAATACTTTTATATTGTCTGTGGATTGCACAGCACTATCCTTCTGCTATCATCACCAGTGAATATGAAGAAAAAGTTGAGTACATACTATGGCCTCTCTCCAACCTGACAGTAGACGAAGACAGAGCCCTCAGGAAGGTGGGACATCTCTCCTCTAACAACTGGCTCAGCTGGAGTAGAAGGAGGAGAAGAAAGCTGGCAAATCTGTGTGGCTTTGATTTATGCAAACAATAAATTACACATGAGTACAGTATAATATATAATAATAATACAGAAAATAGAGCATAAGACAAGCACCCCCAGTAAACACATTACAGAGAGATTAGTTGGCTTGGCTACCATGAATTGCCAACCATAATGCAGCAGTGACTGACGCATTATGACAGACAGCTGGGAAAGAAAGCCAACTTCTATACATGTCAGGTACAAATTATTACAGCCATAAAACAATAACTCTATTACCTTTCACACAATCTGGACACCAGCTCATCCCTTGAGCGTCTTTATCACCAGAGAAATATGCGAATATGTCCTTTCCTTTCCTCTCAGACACTGCTTTGCAGAATTCATCATAACCATGGACCTTTAATTCTTCATAATGAGACATTATGAAATAGAATAAGTAGCAGTATTATCAATTATCGTACGCAAAGCAAGCAGGTATGAAGCGTTTTATGCTAGAACAAATACGACATGGACCTTTCGCACTATGATCGCTTCTAAAATACTACGAGCAGAGAGGAAGAGGTAAAGAGAGAGGCCCAACTCGGAGGGAAATTTGTCTCCGTCCAGCAGTGGGCGTTTTTGCATTTTCTCGCCCACCAAGCGAGGAGTTTTTGTACAGAGGTCAATGAGAGTGTCGAATTTGGTCAACAAAAAAATGAATGGCTTATTTGCTACGTGAGGTTTATTTGATTTAATATAAGTTCCGTAATGCTTAGGTTGTTACGAGTGTACTGATATAAGTAGGACACGTGACACCCCCGCAACTTTGATTTAAAAAAATACTTTATATCGGAGTTGTCAAATCAAATCAAATCAAATTGTATTGGTCACATGCGCCGAATACAACAGGTGCAGACATTACAGTGAAATGCTTACTTACAGCCCTTAACCAACAGTGCATTTTTTATTTATTTTTTAAGTAAAAATAAAACAACAACAAAAAAAGTGTTGAGAAAAAAAAGAGCAGAAGTAAAATAAAGTAACAGTAGGGAGGCTATATATACAGGGGGTACCGTTGCAGAGTCAATGTGCGGGGGCACCGGCTAGTTGAGGTAGTTGTTGAGGTAATATGTCTCGAGATAGCTATGCATATTCATGATAAGAGGCTAGTAGCGTAGCAGCTCTCCATTGAATACATGCGGTTAACGTCAACCACCCTCATCGAATATTCAAAAATGTATTAAAATAATGAGATATCCACCAATCCAAAGAAAGGATAGGCGGGAGCTAGACAGCCCGCCGTGCCGCTTTGTGGACAACGACTCCCATTGTTAGGGCAGAGAAACAAGTATCTTGCCAGTATATCCATAATCTTTGCTAGGAGTACAGAAAACACATGACAACGCTTCCTCTTCCTGTCTATGAAAAATAAAAGTGATAGGACAACTTCATCCTATTCGTGTAATGCTTTTGATGACTGTTTCATCGAAACAAACAGAATATTATGGACACAAATAGATAGAAAAATTCAAATGTGATAATATTCATCACATTTTAGTCAAATTGTACGATCAAAGTAGTATTTTAAATGTCCTACACTTGTTTGACGATTTCTGCTTTCCGTAGGTTAGAAATACCCACTTCCGGTTCATACGGAAGACAGTGCTTATTATTGGTTGTCATGGCGGCGGTTTAAACAGTTTTAACAGTGATTAGATTGCTAGCAGCTGTCGAAGTGTATCCCGTACAAATAGTATCTTAGCCACATATTTTCAATTTCTTTATATGATAATAATCGAAGTATAATGTTGCATCCGGTTGCATGGCTAGATACGTACTGAAACGTTAGGCTAAGGTTGGCAAAATGGATCAAAGCTAACCGTTAGCCTAACGTTAGCTAGCTTTCTAGGCAGCTAGCCAGGGTTACAGCTGAATTAGAAATACCGGTAGCTAGCTAGCTAGGTGATTTAGGAACAGCTATGGCTGAAAACCTTCTGAAGGAGTCACCGATGACCTTAGGACAATCGAAAAGCTGGGTCACATTAGGTCCAAATCGTAGCACTCGACTTTCTCAGAATCAGGTAAGACAACGTTAGCTAAAGGACATTCATGTAAACCCACAAATGGTCAAATGGATTGTGAACTATCTGACCAATAAACCACGGTTCGTAAGACTGAACCAGGCAGTACTATCAGACCAGATATGCACAAACACGGTAACGTTAGCCGCACGAGGGACGGTCATGTCACCTTTCCTGTTTACTCTCTATACAAATGACATCACACACAACAATGAACTGAGCCATCTGCAGAAATTCTCTGATGACTCTGGTATAGTAAGTTGTATCATGAAAGGTAACGTGTAGTGGCTAGTGTTTTGTGTTATGCCATTATGTGCTGAAAGGGAAACTTACTTAGCGAAGGATGACATAAATAAACTGGACAATCGAGTCAATGCAGGACATGTTCATAAAAATGCTGCAAGCTAAAACACATGATCATGGACAATGCCATACACCCACTCCACATCACTCTAATGCAACATAGTAGTAGCAGGTTCATCCTGCCCAAAAGCTCCATAGAGGGGTTCCGAAGGTCATTTTTACACACAGCCATCATAAATTACTAATTTGTTATGCCTTTTTTAATGTTTAGTCGTTGCTGTTTCCCAGGAGAATAGACAACATCATTTCTTACCTGTCTTTTATGGCTATTAACGTTCAGGTGTCTTATTTAAGCAATAAGGCCAGAGGGGGTGTGGTATATGACCAATATACCACAGTTAAGGGCTGTTCTTCGCACAACGCAACACTTAGCCGTGGTATATTGGCCATATATCACAAATCCCAGAGGTGCCTTATTGCTATTATAAACTGGTTACCAACATAATTAGAGCAGTAAAAATAAATGTTTTGTCATACCCGTGGTATACGGTCTGATATACCACGGCTGTCAGCCAGTCAACATTCAGTGCTCGAACCCCCCCAGTTTATAATATGTGTTTTACAATGTGTTTGTAACTGATACGGGTCCTGTCTTTGTAATTTAATTGATTGTTGATGCTGAAGTGATAAACAGTTTCCCAAGTTGGGATTAATAAAGTACTGCTGTACTCTCTACTATTTCTCTCTCCATCTTATACTAGTCATGCTACTAGCATGCCATCATGATGGATATTGAAATATAATGTGATAACGTTGTGAATGCCAGTTGATGTGGCCAGATCATAAGTTGGACAGCCGGATGTTATGTCAACTCAGCTAGCTAAGTTGGTCATTATGTTTTTGCAACAGCAGGAATGATGCCAGTGGCACTATTGTTCTCTTTCAGTTACTCTTCAATGCAGCCATGCCTGCCAACGCATATAACCGTGCCACCCAAGTTGGCCCACCTGCACCCATTGTGATTGAGAAGCTGATGCCCCGGGTGGAGAAGCGGGATGACCTGGATAGCACCGGCAGCTCTCTGTGTTTCTCTGCTCTGTCTGAGGAGCGTCTGCTGGCTGCAGTCAGGCTGGCCAAGAGAGATCTGAGGAAGAGACGACAGGAGTCATTGAACAGCTCCCCCATCAGACCACAGCCAGAGGAGACCACACCCATCAAGAGCAATGTGCAGGTAAATAAGAGATAGCTAAAGCAGGCTCATCAGTATACTCCCCTTTCACTTGTACTGTTTATATCCATCTTATTCTGCTCCAAGAACGATTAATCGATGATCAACCTTTATAATTTTTCTATTTCCAGCAGAAGGGGGTTGTTCCTAAGAGGAGGTCAAAGACGACCGGCACCAAAGAAGAAGTGACTCGGTCTGGAGCCAAGGTGCTTGTATACACCCCCCAGAAGTACGTCTCCATACCCCCTGGGCCTGATCATGGCCTGTCCCCCCCAACCAGAGACCCAGGCCCAAGGCAGACAGCCAGCCAGGAGCCCCACACAGCCCTCAGCCAGGAGGTCCGCAGGCTGCAGAGAGAGCTGGCCAACTACATCCAGAGAATAGATCAGCTGGCTAACAGAGGTAACACCGCATAAATGAAGTCACCCATGAGTTTACCAGTCAAATCGCCATGGTCAGAGGTTCTAGTGATTATATTTCTGTGGGTAACACAGCTGGATTGGCACCTTGTTGGCATACAGGCTGCTAATATTCTAATCTTTTCAATATGCTGTTATGAACTATTTTGAATGGTATTTAGTGTATGGGACACTGCATGCAGTTTAGAGACCCATGGTCATGTGTATTGTGCTGTGCATTCCAGGGCGAATGGTTATAGAGTCCTTGGAGCCTGATGAGCAGCGCAGGGTGGAGGTCCGCAGACAGGAACAGGCAGCCCGCTCTGCACGCATCATCTATGTGCTACAACAACAGGTGAAAGAGATCCAAGAGGATTTAGACAAACTACGCTCACAGAAGATTCAGCACACAAATAAAGTAAGTTACACATAATAACCCAAGCTGTCGTACTCTGATGAGGTTGATGATGAGGACAATGACAAAGACTAACACCCATCTCCCTCTCTCTTCGTTTTCTCAGTCCAGAGCGATGAACAGGTTGGCTGCTGCCCACAGAGGGGCGGTCAGGGCCATGCAGGTGTTCACTAATCAGCTGTCTGACATGTCTGAGGGCAGGATGCCCTCCTATTATAAAGAGATGGGCCAGCTGATCCGCCAGCTCTCTCTGTGCTCGGCCAAGGTGGAGGTGGGCCAGGGATCAGCCGTCCCAGAGACTGCCCTGGACATCCTGCAGAAACTAGAGGTCAGTCAGAGGCTGAGTCCCAAATAGCACCTTATTCTCTTTATAGTGCAGTACTTTTGACCAGGGGCAGGGGCCATAGGTCTCTGGTCCAAAGTAATGCACTATATAGGAAATAGAAAGCCATTTGCACTACATCCATAGATTTAATCCATCACCTACAGGCCACTCTCACCTTATTACACAGAAGATGGGCACCAGAAAATGTCCCAAATCAACTACTGTACATCTATTGGTAATTTTTGATAAGCAATCAAACTTTGTAAATCAATATTTGGTTATACAAGCAATACTCCATTGAAAAACCTAAGCTATTCAATCTAAAGAAACTGGAAATAAATTTGCTGGAGAGCCACAAAACCATAGGTAGAGCTGACGTATTAAACAGTACATTTAATTTAGATTTTATTTGGCTTCTTGAATTTGAATGTTTACAGAATATATTAGATTTTCCTGTCTGTCTCTGTGTCTCTCAGACCCTGGATACTGCTCTAAGCAAGCAGAAGAGTCCAGCACAGAGGAGGCAGGCCCGAGTACGCAGCTCCTCCCCTGCACGCCACCGCAGGTCTCCACATCGCATTACGTCTCCTCCCCGTCCCCGTGCACACAGGGGCCCTGCCACCAGGGGTCTCAGAGGACCTCGTAGAGCAGCAGGCCCCAAGAAGTCCTTCCCTGGTGAGAAACGCGCAGGTGTTCTCATTCTAATTCTATCTGAGTGACTCAGCATTCAGAGACACTCATTATCTCACAGTCAGCTGTGCTGCTGAAGCTATTTTATTAGCATTTTAATAAGGATAGGCTAATTATCTAGCGTTTTTTGATTGGCTCATTATTCCATATCCTCATAACATTAATAACTCATGTAAACTAATTTCATACATCATAAAACCGGGAACAACCAACACAGCAAATGCGTCAAACAAATCAGTATCCCCCCTCCTACAGTTGAAACCACACGCACACTGACACAGCAGTTGATAAAATATCTGATCCAAAAATAGAACATGTATTGCGTGGGCGGAACATTTCCTGAAACTGCATTTTTAATTTGAGCGTCTCATCTTTGTTGTTTACCCTGTTCTCTCATTGTGAACGAGGGAGCAGATCCCTGTTCTCTCATTGTGAACGAGGGAGCAGATCCGTACGGCTCCCATGGCTCAGGAATCACCTGAAGGCTTAAGTGCTGTGTGTGTTTGGGCCTCCCACCGAGCCTGAATCACAGCACCAGGGTGGAGATTAATGAGGGGCTGACTGACTGACGCAAAGAGGGGAGAGAGGGGCCAGGGTCCGGTTCTCTGGCCATGGGTCTCCTGCAGGCAGCTCATTGTGTGGGTGGCTTGCTCCTACTGTGTACACAGTCTCCCTGTGGGAGAGATAGTGTAGCCACCACACACCACGAGAGGGTTTGAACTGCATCGCATGCACAGGTCTCCTTGGCAACTAATAACAGTTCCCACTGTCAGTGAGCAAGCCCCCTACCTTCTCCACACTGCCAAACAAGCAGCAGGCAAGTGTCTGTTAATGTGCTAGTTGGCCAGATAAGTGTGTAGTCTCTCAAAGGAGCATGCAGGTGTTATCCCTAAGGGCCATACAGGCTTTACTAGTGTTTGATTAGTCATGCCAAGCACTGTAACACTTATCTGTAAGGGCCTATAGAAATGATTGAGCACATAGCCTAGCTGTTGAAGTGTTTCAAAACAACATTTCACTCAAAACTGATCATGAGCCTGCCAATGTTGTGATGTTAGTAGATAGCAGAGCGGTCCCTCAGCATCAGCAGCCCCCCAGAGCCACAGAGCCTCCTCCACAGCTGCATCGCAGCCAGGTGCTCAGGGCTGGCCTGGAGAGCCTGGTCCATCTCAGAGAATTCAGGGAAGGAGGGGGGCAGGTCCCCAAAAGTCAAGAAGGAGCACTGCACCCCGATAGGACAAAGGTCAGTGAGTTTAATACTTACATTTTTGCTGCAATTAAATGTATTTGAATATGTCCATTAATAACTGGCTAGCCTGAACTATTTTCACTACAATTGTGTCTCTTAAACATGATCTTTGTCCAGAAGCAGGGAGCCCATGTGAGGGATGCAGGTTTCCAGCAGCCCACAGTGGCTTCCAGGCTGAGAGTGTGTCAGCACCCACAGAAGGAGGCCTCTGTGCACTGGATACCCACGTCACCTCACTCTCCTCCTAAACAACAACAACAGTGGTGAGCTCAGAGGAGAGCACTCTCTCTTGTCCTCAGTCTCTCTTTGTAACTTACTCTCGCTGCGTACTCTCTCCCCCTCTCTTACAGTCTCTCTCTTTTAATTGTCATTATTTCTAATCCACTTCCACTTGTGTTATGTGTCCAGCTCCCCTCAGAAAAGGCAAGAGCCTCGATGTCTCTTCTCCCCCCTGAAGCCCTCCTCAGGCCCCTCAGAGCAGCAGCTGAGTGGTGTGGTGACAGCAGAGCAGGACCAGGGTCTGACCTCAGATAGACAGAGACAAGCCCACAACGAAGCCCTCAGGTCAGTGATAATAACAATAATACGTTTTATTTTTAATATATTTTTAAGCTTTTAATTAAACACAGAAAACATAAACCATTGGACATGGCAAACAACCTTGTGCCTTATTAGCATCACAGTACCTTATTAGCCTCATTTATTTTAGGTTTTAGTTGATGTATAATATGTGTTATAGCAGAATGAATGAACCAAGGGAAACTGCCCAGGGAACAGTTATATTAATGGATCTGCTCATTTTAAGTAATTAAGTCATTTAAAACCCTGATCTCAGACCCCACTTTCTGAAAGCTGCAAGCAATACTCTGATTCCAATTCAAAGTTAAATTCAATCTACGTGCTTGCTTGTTAGATTGGGGACATTATAGTTTTTTTAAAGCACAGTGATGGATAGCAGTGCCTGCCTGCTTGCCTGCACTAAATTCAAGTGCACAGCAACCCTCTGCACTAATCAAAACTTCATTAGTGCAACTGAGGTCTATAATTAATAAAATGCCTGCAGCCTGCTTTCGGTAGCTAACATTAGGACTGGTTTATGTGGGTCTTCTAATTGAAACGGTTCTGTCTGTGTTGTATGGTGTGGTCTATGTGAATGCACAGGCAAGCCTGGCTGGACAGGATGACCATGCAGAGACTGAGGGACCTAAATCAGCTGAGTAAAGATGAAGCAGAACGCATCCAGAGACTCCGGTACACTAGTGTAGTACTATGTCCTCTACACACTCCTTGTCATAGCCTAGAATAACTGAGTGAAAATACAGGATTCAAAGCCTCTATATTGTTACACCAGGCTTACGCGTGTGTGTGTGTCAGGTCTGAGGTGGGCTCTCCAACCCAGTGGGCTGAGAGAGCTGAGCAGGAGGCCCGAGGGAGACTACAGCCTCTGTTGGACCAGGTCCTGGTAAGACAGACATTTAAACTCTCCTCTCAAAAAATAAAGGGTTGTATGCACACAAAAAATAGACAGGACTTCAGACAATCCTTTTTAGTTTTTTCTTGCTTTTCAGCAGGCAGAAGAATAAATAACTGAGTGTGTAACTTTGCTCTCACTCAATACCCACATTGTTGTTACATAAGAAAAGCCTGGACCAGGGAGAGCTTTCCCCTCCCTCAGGAATTCCACTGCCCTCAGAGGAGTGGGAAAATCAATACATCTCATTTGTAATTGAAAAATCCATACAGCTATTTACCACCAGATTTGTGCCACCACAGTGAAATGAATAGGGAATTTACAGCTAGGCCTAGGGTGTACTGCTGCAGCCTTGTGTATGTGCTGAGTGAAAAGACTGAGTTAGAGTAGGAGAGGTTGGTGTTAGGTAGTGTCACGCCCTGGCTCTGGGGACTCTAATATGTTGAGCCAGGGTGTGTAAAGTCTATGTGTTTTGTTCTAGGTTTCACTTTCTGGTATTGTTGTTCTATGTTGGCCAGTGTGGTTCTCAATCAGAGGCAACGGGATTCAGCTGTTGCTTGTTGTCTCTGATTGAGAACCATACTTTAGCAGCCTGTTTCCCCACAGAGTTTGTGGGATCTTGTTTCTAGTCGGTTGTGTTAGACCGTGAACTGTCACGTTTTCGTTTTGTTGTTTTTGATCGTGTCTCTAATAAAGAGTATGTTTGCCTGCAACGCTGCGCCTTGGTCCTCATCTCTGTTCGACGATCGTGACGGAAGATCCCACCAAGACTGGACCAAGCAGCAAGTCCAGGAGCCATCGCCTGAGAGATCTCTAGCGGATCTCCTTCGCCTCCTCGACTGGGTCAAGCCATGTGAGGAAGAGAGGGGCTTGACGTGGAGGCAGAAGGGCGAAAGGCTGGCGAGAAGCATGGAGACCTGGTCCACGGGTAGGAGTGAAGCCCATACATTTTTTAGGGGGGGGGCTAACGCCGTGGACGACGGGGCAGCAGGAGGCCGCCAGGTTACGGGAGTCACTGGTCACCAGGGGGAAGGAGGATGTAGAGGCACGGCGAGAGGTACTGGCGTGTGTTGCCAGTCCGGTCCGGCCTGTTCCTGATCCCCACGTAGGGCCAGTGGTGTGTGTTCCCAGTACGGTCCGGCCTGTTCCTGCCACTCGCACCAAGTCTACGGTGCGCGTCGCCAGCTCGGCCCGGCCTGTTCCTGCTCCCCGTACCAAGTCTGTGGTGCGCGTCGCCAGCCCAGTCCGGCCCGTTCCTGCTCCCCGCACCAAGTCAGTGGTGCGTTTCGTCAGCCCTGTCCGGCCCATTCCTGCTCCCCGCACCAAGTCAGTGGTGCGCGTCGTCAGCCCGGTCCGGCCCATTCCTGCTCCCCGCACCAAGTCAGTGGTGCGTTTCGTCAGCCCAGCTCGGCCCGTTCCTGCTCCCCGCACCAAGTCAGTGGTGCGCTTCGTCAGCCCGGCACGGCCCGTTCCTGCTCCCCGCACCAAATCAGTGGTGCGCTTCGTCAGCCCGGTCCGGCCCGCTCCTGCTCCCCGCACCAAGTCAGTGGTGCGTTTCGTCAGCCCGGCTCGGCCCGCTCCTGCTCCCCACACCAAGCCAGTGGTGTGCGTCGTCAGTCCGGCACGGCCCGTGCCTGTTCCACCGGTGGCTGGTCCGGCACCGGTCAGATGCTTCACGCCGGAGCTAGAGCAATCCGCTCCACCAGTGTGCAGTCCAGCTCCGGCCAGCGGGGCCAGACCGGACCAGGGGTACTTTGGGGGGTTGGAGAGGGAGCGGGGATCAGGCCCGGAGCCGGATCCGCCGCCTAGGCGGAGTGCCCACCCGGTCCCTCCCCTGTGGTATTTGGTGGGCGCGGTCGGAGTCCGCGCCTTTAGGGGGGGTACTGTCACGCCCTGGCTCTGGGGACTCTAATATGTTGAGCCAGGGTGTGTAAAGTCTATGTGTTTTGTTCTAGGTTTCACTTTCTGGTATTGTTGTTCTATGTTGGCCAGTGTGGTTCTCAATCAGAGGCAACGGGATTCAGCTGTTGCTTGTTGTCTCTGATTGAGAACCATACTTTAGCAGCCTGTTTCCCCACAGAGTTTGTGGGATCTTGTTTCTAGTCGGTTGTGTTAGACCGTGAACTGTCACGTTTTCGTTTTGTTGTTTTTGATCGTGTCTCTAATAAAGAGTATGTTTGCCTGCAACGCTGCGCCTTGGTCCTCATCTCTGTTCGACGATCGTGACAGGTAGGAGATGGTCAATGGTGGTGTGGGACTGAGCTTGCCCTACCTGTGTACCCCAGCAGATGGGAGCTGCTGCCTCTCAGGCCCGGGACAGAAAGGCCACATCGTCACTGGGGCATCGGCTGTCTGAGTAGCCCTGTCATATCGTAATGATCCTGACCTATATTACCGATATTTATGTTTTTCTCAGTATTTGAGTCCCAATTGCCTGTAGGGCTCTGCTCAAAAGTAGTGCACTATATAGGGAATAGGGTGCCATTTGGGGAAACAGCCAGGAAGTGATTCCATAAAACCCTTTCCCATGTGCTGAGCTCTGTGCTATCTACCTCCCTCTCCAGGCTGCGGAGAGCGCTGAGGTGCTGAGTGAGGCCCTGCTAGCGGAGCTGCTGGCCGATGCAGCGCAGGCCGCCTGGACGTCGGAGACAGACAGACAGACGGAGGGTTTGGCCCAGCTCCAGGCCCCCTCCCTGGAGAGCATGCTGCTGCGCATGGAGGAGATGGAGGTGAGCCCTGAGCACGGCCCTATGGAAAGGCCACCACACAAAGGTCACAGGGAGTTTGAAAGGGGACCACTGGTTAGTTTGTCATGCCTGGCCTGTGTGATGTTTGACAGCCTTGGTCAAGCTGTGCTGTGGAGATACAGTGAATGCACTGTCCAATCCGGTCTGGATTCCTGATAAGGCTTTGTATTATTGTTTGGCTGAATAATGAATTGAAATAATATACTTTTATCATCTATGTGTCTGAGCAGAAAGATCAGGAAGCTGTGAGGAGGCGCTTTGCTACCTTCACATACTCAGACCCTCACTACTGGGACAGAGGGGACACAACTGGTGAGTAAACAGACCAAGTAACTCCTCCACACAGCCTCCACACACTTTTGCATGGGGGTTTGAATTGTTGTTCCTCTGGTGCCCTGCAGGTGAAGGTATTGTGTTAGTGCTGTTTTAGCCAGTTGAGAGCAAGGCTATCCCTCATTCTCACTCTCCTTTTCCACCCCTCTTTCTCTTATCCCCCTCTCCCCCATCTCTTTCTCAGGGCTTCAGAGGTCTGCTCCAGGCTCCAGGCCAGTCTCTCCTCAGCCTGTTAGGATCACCAGGCCAGCACTGAGACACACCACCACGGCTGACATTGTCCTGGAGAGCCCTGTGGAGACCGGGTGAGTTGACATGTGCTCTTCTGTTTTATCTCTTTCCCAGGTAATTTCTGGTGTTGCCAAAGCGCTAGTTTCTGTGAATAGTCATATGCACAGAATTCAATAGAACATTATAGTATCTCTATGTTAATATTTTAGTTTTGTAGTAATCACCATGCAGTACTGCAGCCACCATCTTAGAGGAAGCTTCAAGCCCTGTCTGAGTTTAATGGGTTGATGTATGGACAGATGGTTTACATTATAAACTGGATGGTTCAAGCCCTGAATGCTGATTGGCTGACAGCCGTGGTACAGTTGAAGTCGGATGTTTACATACACCTTAGCCAAATACATTTAAACTCAGTTTTTCACAATTCCTGACATTCAATCCTAGTAAAAATTCCCTGTCTTAGGTCAGTTAGGATGACCACTTTATTTTAAGAATGTGAAATGTCAGAATAATAGTAGAGAGAATTAATTATTTCAGCTTTTATTTCTTTCATCACATTCCCAGTGGGTCAGAAGTTTACATACACTCAATTAGTATTTGGTAGCATTGCCTTTTAAATTGTTTAACTTGGGTCAAATGTTTTGGGTAGCCTTCCACAAGCTTCCCACAATAAGTTGAGTGAATTTTGGCCCATTCCTCCTGACAGAGCTGGTGTAACTGAGTCAGGTTTGTAGGCCTCCTTGCTCGCACACGCTTTTTCAGTTCTGCCCACAAATGTTCCATAGGATTGAGGTCAGGGCTTTGTGATGGCCACTCCAATACCTTTACTTTGTTGTCCTTAAGCCATTTTGCCACAACTTTGGAAGTATGCTTGGGGTCATTATCCATTTGGAAGACCCATTTGCGACCAAGCTTTAACTTCCTGACTGATGTCTTGAGATGTTGCTTCAATATATCCACATAACGTTCCTTCCTCATGATGCCATCTATTTTGTGAAGTGCACCAGTCCCTCCTGCAGCAAAGCACCCCCACAGCATGAAGCTGCCACCCCTGTGCTTCACGGTTGGGATGGTGTTCTTCGGCTTGCAAGTGTCCCCCTTCTTCCTCCAAACATAACGATGGTCATTATGGCAAACAGTTCTATTTTTGTTTCATCAGGCCAGAGGACATTTCTCCAAAAAGTACGATCTTTGTCCCCATGTGCAGTTGCAAACCGTAGTCTGTCTTTTTTTATGGCGGTTTTGGAGCAGTGGCTTCTTCCTTGCTGAGCGGCCTTTCAGGTTATGTCGATATAGGACTTGTTTTACTGTGGATATAGATACTTTTGTACCTGTTTCCACCAGCATCTTCACAAGGTCCTTTGCTGTTGTTCTGGGATTGATTTGCACTTTTCGCACCAAAGTATGTTCATCTCTAGGAGACAGAACGCGTCTCCTTCCTGAACGGTATGACGGCTGCGTGGTCCCATGGTGTTTATACTTGCGTACTATTGTTTGTACAGATGAACGTGGTACCTTCAGACGTTTGGAAATTGCTCCCAAGGATGAACCAGACTTGTGGAGGTCTACAATTCTTTTTCTGAGGTCTTGGCTGATTTCTTTTGATTTTCCCATGATGTCAAGCAAAGAGGCACTGAGTTTGAAGGTAGGCCTTGAAATACATCCACAGGTACACTCCAATGGACTCAAATGATGTCAATTAGCCTATCAGAAGCTTCTAAAGCCATGACATCATTTTCTGGAATTTTCCAAGCTGTTTAAAGGCACAGTCAACTAAGTGTATGTAAACTTCTGACCCACTGGAATTGTGATACAGTGAATTATAAATCAAATAATTGTTGGAAAAATGACTTGTGTCATGCACAAAGTAGATGTCCTAACCGACTTGCCAAAACTATAGTTTGTTAACAAGAAATGTGTGTAGTGGTTGAAAAACGAGTTTTAATGACTTCAACCTAAGTGTATGTAAACTTCCGACTTCAACTGTATATCAGACTGTATACCACGGGTATGACAAAACATGTATTTTTAATGCTCTAATTACCACTTTATAATAGCAATAAGGCACCTTGGGGGTTTGTGGTATATGGCCAATATACCACGGCTAATGGCTGTATCCAGGCACGCCGACTTGCGTCGTCCCTAAGAACAGCCCTTAGCCATGGTATATTGGCCATATACCACACCCCCTCGTTCCTTATTGCTTAATTATACATTTACTGTTTGAAGATTGGAATGCCATATCCGGACCGTTTGTTGATGTTGCAGATTGTAGTTAATGGTTATGAGATGCTATACTGGGTGATGGGACCTCTGGAGTCTCCTCTAAATGTAAATTCAATACAGAGGATAATGGTGTATGACATCACTTAACCTGCTCCCACCTTATCAGGTAGGAACTCATTAAGGTGTCAAGGATTGCACGGGACAATACAACGAGACAAAACTGATGCAGAACATTGATCCCATAAATTTAAGCTAATAATAAGAAAGTGCCCAACAAAACCACCGTCCCACAAATTGTTAATTACTTTATTTTACAGTTGGCATCCACAACAAAACTGATGGAGGTGGAATGTTGTTTATGCCTTTCCCAGAATGCACTGCTTTGTTGTGCCTCAATTCTGGCTGTTCTTCTCCACCCCTAATCTCTCCTGGCTGCAATGAGACAAAGCCCTAACCCCCTCCAAACCCCCTCTCTCCCCCCACCCCCTGCCCCCACCCTCTGGCAAGACATAAAGGGAGTGCATCTGTTTGTCTCTGCCTCCGTCCCCTGCCCAGAGCTTTAGCTGTAGCTGCCATTGCTTAAATTAATTAGGAAAGTGAAGGAAGAAGAAGAAAGAGGGGAGAGTGAGAGAGATGGGAGCCAAAGGCTGACAGGGGAAGTAAGTTGTTGAGAGTGGAGTGGAGCGGACATGCCAGCATGATGCAGTTGAACAGATTCAAGCAGCAGCACCATTAGCAGATTAAAGGCAGTCAGTAGTTCACTGTTCCTGGCCCAACTGGAACCTTCTGGAGGGGCTCAGACCAACTCTTCTGTGACTCATCTCTCACTCAGTCTGTCTGTTTTTACCCATCCATCTGTAACCTTCTATTGCTGTCTCTAAAGAGCGGGCAAACTAGTCTGGGTACCAGTCTCTGTAACATTCCACTCCTTGTGTCTTTGGCAAATGACACAGAGTACAAGGAGTGAAATGTAATAGCTGAACAGAGACTGGCAACTAGGTTATGGGCAAACCACCAGAAAACTAAAACTCTTGCTGTCTGTTTTGTGAGTTAGGAGGAAGATGTGGTAAAACCCTAACTCCGTTCATAGCGCAGGTTATGACTTGTCTAGTTATTTCATATGGTTTATGGGTAAAACAACGCTAGCAGAACTCACTGAGCTTGGCTTTCTTGATCCTGTATTGGAGGTACTGATTGGCCAGATTAGCTTTACTTCTAACCCTGTGTTGTAGCTACTAGTTACCTGTATCCTCCTGCCTCTATGAAGATAGCATTAGAATCACCCAGGGCAGTCTGTGTCTTCCTCCCTCTCACGGCCCAGTGAATTACACAGTCCAATGGGACTTCTCACCCCTGCCTGAGTGGCAGGTAATTTCGTTTGTGTGTTAAAAAAGGAAAATGGCCCGCATTGCCTCTGACACACTGCTCTCTGACAGGATTCCGATAAAAAGACTAGCAGAGTGCGTCATGAAAATGATCTCCCTTGTACTTCCCTTGCTTTGCCCCCAATAGCTGTATGAAGGAGATAATTTTAATGTGGAACTGTCTGACCGAATATGAAGCCAGGTATTTGTTTGAATCGACGAGTGCGCTCGTGTGAAAGCCCAACACAATGATTGTGTGTTGTGTCTCTGAGAATGCCAGGCAAGTTTTCAGCGCATTCTGTCTCATTTGTAAAGCAATAGGCATTGATTCTAAATGGCACATCGATATTGTCTCATCCCCCACAGACGGACAGTGACAGAGCATATTCAGGAGTTCTTCCCTCCACGCTTTCTATTATCCTTGAGTACGTGGAGAAAATGTGTCAACCAAACACTCAGGACTGAACATTATTGATCTTTATGTGCCAACACACAGGGAGTATTTTCCCCTTCCTTCCTTTCCAGTATGATTCCCTTTAGGCCTGTGTTCTGAGTGCTAGCTTCAAAGGGTTGACAGAGATATAGGTGCCACTAGAGAGTGATTCCATACAAAACCAGGAAAAAAACAAACATGACTTTGGAGATTTTCACTAAATGTAATCCATAGAATGGAGGAAAGATTGTTGACAGATTTTTATTTTATTTTTTATTTAACTAGGCAAGTCAGTTAAGAACAAATTCTTATTTACAATTCATGAAAGTTGGCATATTTATGACATTTTGGCCTTACCCAGGCCTCCTTTAAGACTCCATAATGCAGTGGTCACCAACCTTTTCCTTGCAGTCAAAAAGCAAGCCAAGATCTACCACTCAGATTTCTTTAAAAACATTACAATTTTTTTTTTAACATTAAGCTAATGAAAACTGTTCTGTAGGAATGAGGTTTGTGTAGTAGGCCTTATACATTATCAAAGCGTATAGTATGCCTGGCCTGTCAATAATGTTCTTCTCAGTCCATATTATATTTCAAAACTCAAGCTTTGATAACAAAATAGATCAGTTGGTGTAGCACTCGCGAGGCACAGCTGAGTATAAATTGAAATAATTTGCAAATAATTTGCTTTTTTATTTTACTGGATTGATGGTACCTGCATCTGATGGTCATGGTGCTTTCAAGACAACTGGGAACTCAGGGGGGGGGGAACAAGGTAAAATCCTGATGTCAGTGATCTTTCGGTCGGAAAGTCGGAGCTCTAGAAAGATGCCTGAGTTTCCGACTTGGAATTCAGAGTCGGATGACCGTTCAAAAATATTTGAACGGTCGCAACTCGTTTTCAGTTGTCTTGAACGTACTGAAGTCGGAAGTCTGAGATTTCCGAGTTCCCAGTTGTTTTGAACACAGCATTCGTCTCAGCTGAGGGAGGGAGAGAGCAGCAGAGGGTCCGCCTCTCACGGTCCCTGCTTTCTTCTTCCTTTCCTCCGGAGAGA